CTCTCTGAGGCTCCTCCGTCTTCCCTCTCGGGGCACTCTGTCCCGTATAATGCGAGTTATGGCTCTGCATCGGGAGTGCAGAATGAGTATGCTTGTCTCTATAGCTGAATTTCCGTAGCCATGATTATATAGTAGCACAAGTCGACATTTGAATCACCCGCTCTGCTGAGTGGGCAACAATATATCATTTGGGCATCAAATCCCTCCTTGTGTCATCCTCGTTGTCCTCAGTTCCCAATCGTCCGACATATGAGGTTATTTCTCCCCTAACCAAGCTTGTTTAATCTCCCATAGGCTACCCATATTCTGATTGTTCCTATATGCATGGAACTCTTTCCATGCATTCTAGATTATCCGCAACATTGCAATCAATCTCTATATTTTTGAGGCAAGTATGCTAAGCTCCTGAAAACTCTCAGCCAACTATCCCGTCCATACCCGCATCGGGAATGTTTGGAGGAGGCGCCTCTTCCATCTCCTCCGGAGCTCCCTAAGGAGGTTCAGGTCCTGATACGGGCAGTCGTTGGAGAGCTGATGATTTCTGCTACCACTTCGGTTCAAGTAGAGCGGCTAAGCTTGCGAGGTCTACCTGAGCGAGGCAGAGATTTTAATTGTTTGTGGAATAACCATTTTGGTCTTTCTGGCCTTGCGAGAGGACAGCATTGTGAGATTAGAGTTGGAAGACTTGCCTACTTAAACAAATTATAGAAAAATCTGCAGAGACACGCAAGAAGACATCAGAGAAAACCCATAAGTTTCTATTGGAGGTGGCAGTCATCGACAACAAGACAGGAAAAAGCACATCGGAAGGCTTGCCCCACGAAGAACCAGTGATGTTTGTTATACTGCAGGGGAGAAGCTCTCGCAGGTCCGAGGTGCTTGGCAGAGGACCGGTGGCCAGCTAAGAAATCCAATTATCCAATTATTCTGTAATTACTAATTTAGGCTTGGAACAGAGCAAATAGTTTATATAAAGTATCAACTACCCGAGTACAACCGGACGGTTGTGTATTCCCCCAACAAGACACAAATAACAGCAGATGCTTGGTGCGGCGTTCGGGGACCCATCTAAGGATGAGCTTTCTCTCATGAGATCGCGTTTGTTCTTTGTCCTCCCAGCTGACAGAACCGCCGGGTGACCCGTCCACTCCCGGCCCACCCCCTGAACCAGGGCAATAGGTTTGGAATATGGGGAGAATACACCATCCAATGCCTCAGCATTGTGAGGAAGGGTACAGCGCCGTACTGTCTTGTTCCAGCAATATATGGAATTATATTAATTCACGTATTTGTGAGATACAATACCTGAAGTAATATATTATAATCCAGAATACTATAATAATATTAATAATATCAGTCCAAGAAATCTTGATTAACTTTATGATATAAACAGACTGAACAAGTAATAGAAGAAGCTTGTTCAGATTTTCTATACTTATTAGCCTCAGCTGAACGAGTATCTGTATATAGGCTTTCTATACAGGCTGCACAATTTGTTTCACCTGTTCATGCGGTGATCTTATCAAACATCTGATTGCGCAGCCCTACGAAGCTGGAGCACGCTAGTAGAACGTGCTTCGGGGTCTGGGACCCCTGCCCGCAGCTGCAAAGGTCACTCTCCTGCGCCTTGAGTTTGTAGAGGATATGGGCTAGGCCGATCCGCTGCGTGCGCCTCTGCATGATCACGGACGCGTACGCCTTTGGCAGACCCTCGTAGAGCGCGAGGATCTCCTTCGAGGGGGCCTTTACCAGGCGCCTCGTGGACGCTGCCGTACGGTCGCCATCAGTGTATTTGCCGTCGGCATAAGCCACTTGAAACGGCTTGGTCAATGGCGTCAGCTTAATAGCTCCCTCTCTAAGACTACCTATCACCTTGAGGCATTTCAGGTATGTAGGCATGCGACCAGGGTCTCGGTTGAACCTGAACATTAGACCAGAAAGACCTTTTCATCCCCATTGTCACCCTAAGTAGGATAACGCGAGCAAACTCACGCTACACAGCATCATGCTGCTTCGTGGCGTGTTTGTGGACAGCTGCAAAAGCTTTTGGCTTGATATGTTGCATTGATACGTCGGTCCAGTGCATGCCGTACGTATTTGGCGAAGCCATTTGGAGGGCAGACCCAGGAACTGTACGAGCTCTGGGCTGCCCTGCGCCTGCTCTTTGCGCCTCGATCTTTTCGAAGTAGCGAAGTATATCCTCCAAAACCTTTCCGGAACGGCAGGCGCACGATGAACCTGACTCCTCCAAAGACTGTCCCTCACCATTCGGCTCATGCAGAGCCATTCAACAGCATGCAGCTCTTTTTTGCATACCTGTCTTGCCGCTGTTGATATATTAGATATTTTTTCTATGTCAAATCGGACTTCAGTACTTAACGCTGATGCAGTTGTGAGTATAGGAATATATAGGGCCATCCTCACCTTCAAAAAGGCAATGGGATGTCTGTTATCTTGGAGATCGACTGCTTCAGTCGGTATGCTGTTGCAAAGGCAGTTTTCAAGGCCACGTTCCATAAAGCTATCGTTTAATGAAGACTGGCTTTTGAAAAAGAATGATGCGTTAGCTTGTCTGAGTATTTGATGTGTGGGACAGGGAAGAGGTTCATCGGAACTTCTGTTGATTGTCTTACATGGACATAATTATAAACACAAAGAACACAAGGCAGGTGCTCAGGATGATGGCTTCCATACTCAGCTCTATTTGACCAAGGTGGTTATTGCTGCATATAAATAAACTTTCGTCAGAAGCATGACCTGATGCAGAGTGACCTCAAATGGAAGTCAAGCACTTCCTCGTGTACGTCGGTACAGTTAAGTGTCACGATCCCGCCTGGTGTGCTTCAGGAGTTATTCCGCTAGACTATCCAGTAAAAGACTAGAATTCTGAGTCAACAGACTCAGAACGCGCATCTCTTATAAAGCTTCAATTCACTAAGTTCGTTGGTCATGTGACCAGTTGTCACAGTTAGTAGATAGATAGTCTTACATCGGTAAAGTTCTACCATAGAATACTGAGTGTCTGTATACTTATGATAATTATTGATTTTATGGATGACTGGTGTCTTCCATCCAACCTCATGTTTAAAATTCCTCGTCCTCCGGCTACTAGTAATTTGTAATCATCAAAGCCTAGTCTTCATTCCGCATGGCTATCAAATTCTATAAACACCCAGAAAATCGTAGCAAATCCCATTTTAACTTGTTCCCCTAACGACAGCCTTGTGGTTCGCCGGTTTATGATAGGGGGGAGTTGGAATCTGAATTTTCCATGATCAAGGATTTGGGTATCTGAGGAAACCATCAACCCCACCGGGAATGTGTTTGCCTGAAGTGAGTACTCAACACAATTGTAGTGACTGCCCTCGAATATCCTCCTAGACGAAGTTAAGAGTTGCTCTTTCTTGAAGGTTACGGGGTTACTTGTTTCCTCTCCTCTTCTTATCGCCAACTATGATGTTTACCCCAACCTGTCATCTCATTCTCCCATCTCCGTGAATATGGGGCACTCATGGTTTACAATCTTACTGTCTCTCTGAGAAAAAGGTAAGAGCGAAGCTATCACCGATTCTGGATTCCTTGAATGCCCATAGCCTTAAGCCCATCACTGACCTTTACAATGTCAGCTCTGCTCAGCCAAAAGCTTCCTTTTCAATGTCTGCGAACTTCACACCCTCGCGGATCAAGTCTCTGAGGAAGAATGATTCTGGTACTTCTGGGCGGAACAACTACAAAGCTTATGAGTACCCATTAGTGGAAGCAGAATGAAACAGTAATCTTGTTAATGGCCGGGAGTCCTATCCCAGAGCCCCCTCCAACCGCCCGGCGCTGCCGGACCTGTCAGTTGGGGCGGTTTATAATAAAAACTTAGCCAAGGACGGGCTGACGCTCAGCGACTCGTAGCAACAATTCAATTCAACAGGGGATCAAAGACACATCAAGCAAAGCTTTGGACATCCATACGAGCAAGCGTCAGACCAAGCTGGAAGGAAACGCTGCGCTCTTCGGTCCGGACGGGAGATTCTTGATATGCTCACCCAGGCTGAATTTAGTGAGACCACAGAAAGACATTTTTCGGGGATTATAGTCTGATAACATAGATATACAGCCTTAATACAACCCACTGGGTCACTCGGACAGTGTTCTCTGGGCAGGAATATGTCCAGATTCTGCCTGATCTTGCCCCATCCAGCTGAAAGGATCGACTGTGAGTTCTAATATGGAATATTGAGTGTCTCTATGTGATAGTAATGGAGTTTATAGATCGCTGGCGTCTTAGAAGACGCCGGCGTGAACATCCCCAAGGGAGGTCTTGCGTTCGACGCGGACACATGCCCACTCCCCCATCAAACATAGATTGATACGAACGCCTCAGCCGGAGGCACGTACCAGATATGGTGGTCTCCCCACCCTCACCCCTTCTTCTTTATTTCTCTATTGCTAAATTCACTGACAAGTTGTGTATAGATTCTGTGTCCATGAATAGGTATTTGGTGGTGATTCAGAAAGCGATTGGAAGCCCTGCTAAACAACAGAAATGTGAAGTCGCCACCTCATAAGTACTTCTGATTGAGAACATACCGTCAAACGATTTATAGGTAGACGCTTGTCATCCTATGTACAAGATGAGATATCCGCTATGTGCGACTATCTCCATTGGCATGGAGAGTTAGAAGACTATCTCATTTTTTGTCGCCCCAATACCTTATTCATAGATATTGTCTTCAATGATTTCCACATATGCATCGACCTGGCTTCTCTGGCGGCCAGCAACACATCGTTTTGGTCTACTTGGCAAGGAAATTGCTCTATTGTATCGTGCCGCAAACCAGACTTGATACAGCCGGAGTAAATTGCGACATAGTATAGAATGCATACCCAAGATTCTACATAAGATGGCTGCAGTTCGCATGCTTAGTCCATATTGGAACCTTCCAAGGCTAATAAAAAATTATGGTAAGCGGGAGAGGTTTGGGATAACGTCTGGAATGATCGCTTACTACATCTGTTGGGACATTCACCGAACCAGGCCATCACATCTTTCCTCCTCCCCGAAGGGAAAGGTGCCCGTTGCAACATCACCTCCCCCCTAAGGCTCCTCCGTCTTCCCCCTCGGGGCACCTTGTCCCGTATTCTGCGAGTTATGGCTCTGCATCGAGAGTGCAGAGTGGTTATGCTTGTCTCTATCGCTGAATTGTCCGTTCAGCAGGATTGGTCTCTCGAGAGACGCATAATCGCGTGGTGGGAGTCCCCCAGCGCGCCACCGAGGACCCGGCGATTGTCTTTTCAATTTGGTGTAGAAGGTCCAGAATGACGCGAGACAAGCCATCATGATCGCTGTCCGCATAGTCAGATATCGTTCCCCATGTTCCAGGTCAACTGTATTTCGAGAAGACTTACCAACACAGATCTCGATCGCGTTCCAGAAAACCAGCCAGGCAGGACTTAGGATCCCCGTACCTGAGACACTCAGCTCAAGTCGCACCAGCGCTATGATGATGATAAACGCCGTTAGAAAACTGACACCGATCAAGGCGAGCTTTCTCCGAATGTCGATTTTAACTCTCCACATGACGTGACCAGAGAGAACGATAACTATATAACGAAGAGATGGTTAGACTGAAGTAAATGCGAGGGTGGTTGGAAGTACGTACTAGCTGCATCAGATACAATATCCATACTCGTCGAGACCTTTAGGCTTACCCGTTCATACCAGATCGAATACGCACTCGCACAAGCCTCTGTCACAGCGTGGTTAACTTGTAAGCACTACTAGGAGGTAAAGTAGAATGGAACTGACCAATGCTATCCTCAAAAGAAGCCATCTCACATGCATAGTCCAGGACACCCAGTGTACCCCCATAGCAGGCGATAACAAACGCCAAGACCACCCACCAGAGGATGCGTTGTGCACGGAAACGATTTCCCAAATGTCGGAAGAAGAATATGAAGGACAGCTTGACCGACCACAGACTAGTATACGAGAGGAGGTATCCGGCGAGCTGCCCGCGCAGGTATCGCACCTCGATGGCCGCAATGTTCTCTGGCAAGTTGGAGTAATCGATTGATCCTGTGGTAAGGGTTGTTATGTAGAACATCTGCTTATAGCATACCGACCACACGATGCAATTGGCAAGAGATAGCACCCAGGCCGTTAAGATCAAGACATCGTGTGTGTGCCATTTCCGGTCGACAAGATATTGGAAGAGCAGCCGAATAAGGACGAAGAAGAACGTGATTGTCTGACAGACCCAAAGCACGGCCTTGTCGGGGAGAAATAGTAGTCAGCCAAGCTTGAGGAAAGGAAAAAGCTTCAGGCTAAGGCGGGAGGTGTTCCTTCAGACATACCACAAATGTAGCCTCGTCGATATAGTTATTCGCCATGGCACTTCAAAGGATACGCCTCCGGGGGATACGAGATCCAACGCAGCTTTTCGCAGTGGACTGCGACGGGAATGGAGGGGCAGACATAGCTGAATATACTATACGTCCGGAGACGCAGCGCTGGTCAGCCTTGGCCCACAGCATTCCATCCTTATGCATCTAACGAGCGATGTATGCAGCTGGAAAGACTCGCTGCACCGCCCCATCCATTCCGATACTGCAACAGTCGCCCGGATTGTAAGCATCCGCACGCCCTGTGTAATACTTTTTGCGGATGTAAGCGCCCCAACCTTCAAGGGTACACTGCACTGCGGGCTATGAATAGCTGAGAGACAGTCATTGGCAACGTAAGAATTCTTGAGCTTACACATAGCAAGGGAGACGGGGCGACGAGTAAGCATTGTCGGGGTAGATGCATAGCGGGACAGTGTTCGTTTCGAAAAATACAAGCAGCTAACCAGCTCATCAGCCGTCATACACTATCTGTACTGAAGTACAAGGCTGTCTCAGCTGTTGTCTATCGAGATCGGAGCTTGTAAGCACTAACAACCGAGCCCCTCTTTTGTGTTGACTACAAGCCATACCATGAAAAAACTGACAGATGGAAACTAGACTGTTGAGCCTTCCTTATTCTGCCTCACAGAAAGACGATTTGACCTCGAGCGCACTTGCAAGCAGCGGGGCACTAGACTAATTTCTGACAGGGTATGGGTAGATTGGTGGGAGGGAGGGGGCGCATGAAAGATCGGCATTAGATGAGCCATAACGAGAAGTGTCGATGCACGTTTGGTCATTCTTGCTTATCTGACACTGTTCTGTCTTTGATTGGCCTTCACTATGAGACATCCCTTGAATGTCATGTTAGAGCGCATCGATCAGCAGTTTACATAGGAGCGCTATGAATCCGAATAGTCGAATTAAGTAGAGTGCAATTGAAAATGTGAGGATTTTAGTTTATCGGATCATCTAAAACCTATTTCTCTATTTACTCGATTAAAAGTAGTTCTAGTAGATAAAGGTCACATTATGTTACACTTCATATCCAATGAGAGGCCAGTCTAGTAAACCTTCTCGAGCTACTTTCCCTCCTCCAAGTCATTGTTTTGCTTTTCAGTTGTCGCTGGTTCATTCTCGTCCCCATTTGCGGCCTCTTTCGCCAATTTTTTGCTCGCCGCCTCTTTCTTAACGTTGCGCCATTCCATGGCCAGAGCGAATGGGACCGCCAGACATGCGGCCGCAAGCCCAAAGTCCATTACCGCCCGAATTCCATAAGCATAAGCACCTTGCAGCGCGCGGAGGATGGTCGCATCAGTGGTGAGCGACCGTAGGCCGGTCGGACCAGCGGCGATGACGGTCTCTGCAGCAATGGGAAGATGAGATGTGCGGACTTGGTGCGCGACGCTCGTTTCGAAAATGCTTTCTCCGATGGCGACGGCAATGGCGCTGATGTCCGGTACAATTGTGAGCTCTCATTAAATGAATCATCTGCACGGTGCAATAGTACTTACGCGCCGAGTTGGGAGAAGAAAACAGTGATTGCTTGAAAGTCGAGTTGGTCAGCGCGAGCGATTACTGGCACCGGAAAAGATGGTTTGGCACTTACCATTACCAATTGGTATATCGTCGTCACTGTAGAATATATGAGTTAGCGATATCTAGAGGGATGGTTGTGCTGTCTGACTTTAGAACGACCTGGACTGCTGTGAAAGGCATTTGCAGTCCCAAACCATGTCCGACTCCGGCTATGACGAGAAATGTCGCCCATAATGCAGTCGATGTGCCGACTTCGAGCTTGGTCAGGCAGGCGGTGCCTATGATAGAGATGACTTGGCCCAGGACCATGAATGGAACCTGGCAGTGGAACCGTCAGCAGCGCTCATAAATCATGGAAGTCAGGAATACTGGTGACTCACGTAATGCCCTGTGATTGACACAATAGCGCCTGTAAGGACAACACCAGCGATTTGCGAAATGCCCAGAGGGATTCCCCGGACACCACTAACTGTTGGGGAAACAAGTTGGGCGGATTGGAAGTAAAAGGGGATATAGTAGAGTGTCTGTATACATAATGAGTTGAATACCAGAAGATTGTATCTCACTTGGAGGCTTACAACGTAGATGCTGATCTCTAAGAAAAATGAATACAAAGCACCCATCAGCACAGAGCGCTGGCGCGCAACTCGAAGGGGAACGGTGCTACGCTCCCCTTGATACCATTGGGAGAGAAAAAAGGCGATCAAAAGCAGGCCTGCGCCAACAAACAGACCGATCACCTTGGACGACCGCCATTTGCTAGAACTGCTGCCAAATTGCATCGCGAGTATCAAACAGGACACCCAGGCGATAGTCAAAGTGATTCCAATGTAATCGAAGGATCGGAGGCGCGCGAGAATAGAGTCTGCTGGTTTTTTTCGACGGTCCTGAAGCTTGAGGAAGAATAATACCAGGATGATTGCCACGCCACCGATGGGGAGGTTGCTGAGCGATTGAAGACACGGTCAGTCAAGATCAATAAGTAGATGAAGAGCCCTACATCCAAAAACACCAGCGCCAGGTCACATGTTGTGTAAGAATACCTCCCAGTGGTGGTCCCAAACATGCAGCGATGCCGAACACGCTCAGCACTATTCCCAGGTACATCGGCCGTTGCTCTAACGGGACGCTCAGCCCAACGATGCTGAGAGCGCCTTGATATAGACCTGCAGCACCAACCCCGGTGATCGCTCGACCGACAATAAAGGCCGTGGAGCTCGGACTAGCAGCGCATAGTACGGATCCCGCTTCTCAGGTCAAAATGGTAGACACGAAGTGTAAACAGTCAGTAGACTCACCTTCAAACAGAACGGCAACAGTAAGATAAGTTGCCTTCGCATCGAAGAGCTGAAACACATTTCCAAAGGCGGGTTGAAATGCTGTGACCGTCAGAAGATAGGCTGAGCCATACCAACCCACATCATCAAAGGCTTGGAATGTAGTGGAGATACTGGGCACAGCGACACTGATGATTGTAGTATCGAGAGCAACCAGAAAAGTTCCACAACACAAAGACACGATAACGATTGCTAACCGCCATGTCTCCGTTGATGTTGTAGCCTGGTTTGCCAAGCCTTCAGATTGAATGGAGTCGGTTTCCTCCATCGATATCTGAGCTGTAGGTGGCTTTGCTGTGTCAACAGCCATCTTTGGGAAGTCGACCGGTAAATCGCGATAGTATGCAAGGTGAGAGGACAAGGAGTCATGAGGAACAAGAGGCGATCAAAACGCCCAACTTAAAACCTACATAGCAACATCGGTCTCAGCTTGTGTTAGGCTGACAGGCCACTACTATGCGACTCAAAAAGCATCTTGGACATGAATCATGCATGCAAGGAGCAATGGGGCTACGGAAGGAAGACGTTACAGGCACGCGGAAGTGACTCGGACTTAGTCGGGATTTTAACTACGAACCTTTCTGATCCCCCTGCGATAAGCGATAAATACAGTATCGAAAATACATACAAATTTACTAGTACCAAAAACACGATGAAAATACCAATTACTACCTCACCACCCACTTTGAGGGCTGAAACCACAGCCTGCATCTCGTATATGCATTCTACCGCCTGCTCTGTACAACATAGACAACCTGATTAATTATAGCTCATTGCCGACCGTGGCTGCACAAGGTCGCATTATTTGCCTTGTAACATTCCAACAACGCTCACGGGGACCACCGAGTCGTTGAGACCAGCGTTGGATCGATACAGCATCGGATAAAGATACGCAGGAAACGACCAGACCAAAAAGCTTCCGACCCAGAGAAATCCAAATATCCGTTCACCGCGGGACGCCGTCCAATTGCGGGACGGCCCGCCACCACGAAGTATAACAGAGTAGGCATTGACGGCCAGATCTTCCAGCATTAATCCGAAGGCCTGTGTGCAGAAGAACTGTACAGCCCCGGAGCTAGATGGCGATAGCCCCGACGACAGGTCAATGAGTAAGTGCATGAAAGCTGAGGTTGCAAACACCATCACGACCTTGGCATATCGGTTGGCAAGCGTCCCTGGCTGGAAGCGAAAGACATCGCGTGCGAAAAATCGAGAGATCGTACGGAATTTGTGGGAATTTGATTGGTGCCACACGCGACTATGCCGGTATTAGTCGATACCGAAAAAGAAAAGAACAGGGGGTGTTTACCTCCAAAGTCTTCGCAGGCTATACGCATCCGACAAGGCTCCGTAGAATGGAGGCCAGTCCTGCGGCTTGCTCCACCTCGCAAGAACACTGGTGAATGCAAAGAGATAATAGAAACCACCCTGACTGGCCAATAAGCCTATGCCAGCTGCAATGCCCGAAAAGACTCGAATGACGATCTCTTCCGTAGTGATTTGAGGAATTCTACGAAACAGCGGCACCCGAGATGCAATGAGGAAGCGAGATCCCACCTCAGGATCGCCCATCGAGCCGAGAACATCGAGGCCCAGGTAACTGAGGAGGATAATTCCCGCAGATCGACGGAGGAATGCGGCTCGGTCGCAGGTGACCGCTTCAGGAATGTGGTGCACCTGCTCAGGCGTTCCAATGCATCGCGCATTGAAGGCCGCCCAGATACCAAACCGTACACGGGCCACCCAGGTCGAAGTTAGCGTCTTGGGCGACTTCGTCGGGGAGAGGTCGACAAATTCCCACCGTGTTAACAGCCCTATGTCGACATAATGGAGCAGTAACATGACCGAATAACCGCCTGCGAGGCTGGCCCATGGTGTCCGAACGAAGTATCCCAAGGAGGTGGAGATGCAATGGCCAGTGCATAGTGCGATAATCACCAATACGCCAGGCCTCAGGCTTGACAGGGCCGGGGTGAATCCCAGAGTGGTCACCACCACGGCAGTTTGAAGAGCAATTGTTAAGAAAGGATTCAAGGGCATTCTCTATACTCTAACGCTGGTCTTTGGGGGGGTTGCAGCTGTCGCAAAGTAATAGCAAAGAGCGGACAAAGCAGGGAGGTATCGAATGTATTGTAGGTCAAGGGAAGATCAAGTCTTGTGAAAAGGGGGAATAGAAGCTGGCAATGTATCTTTGGCCCAACCAAACAAAGAAGCAGGGATTATTGGACACTTATTGGCCTAAAGTTGGGGCAAATGACTGAGCAAGGGGGAAACCCTTGCATCCTGGTCCAGGTGATGGTGGGTAGTCACAGCCTTCTTTCATTGCAAGATTTTGAAAAGAAAACAAAGTACCCGGTAAGGCTTGCGTTACAAATGTCAGTGGCCTGGACACCGTTTTTGCATAACCGACGCCTCGTCCATTTCAATTAGTGCTTACTCCAGACCCCACCTGTCGATCAATTACCCTACCCGTCTCACCTCATATTGTAATTTATAGATTCATCGTCATGAATGAGAGTTGAGACTTATTCCAGTGCAAATGGATGAATAGCCTGATCTGGGTATCTGAAACACTCTGCACACCTTGAATGCTGTAAATCATACTTTCGTTTTCGCCCCCACTCCTCTTCCAAGTTTCTATACCTGATTACTATTGGTAAGAAGGGCTTCTCTAAGCCTTAGTGATAATCCATCGGCTTCCCTACATGATCTCTCGCCAGGCTTTTCAGAGGGTTGTGTGCTGCTGATGGAAGCAATGATGCAATGACGGGAAATTGGGTCAGATGAAGCCTACAAGGCATCCACTGTTACCGTCAGATGTGTCCTCGTAGTTTGCTTACCTTGACTCGTAAGATATCGCTGGGGTGAGATTTGACGATCGTGATACTATCAGTGGTGACAAGCACATTACTCGTGGGTTGCTTAGGGGCCAAGTGATCAGGAAGAATAGTGCTAGCTGGGGAGTAGCAGGTTGTAAGATATATAAGCATCTCTGCAAGTACACGCGGAACTGTCCAAGTTGAGCTTGACTTCCAACGGCACGAGAATTAGCATCAGCTCTGACCATGCTTGCGGATATGATTTATAGCAGCAGCCTGGCACTATGCCAGATGCTGGATACCAGGCGCACGTCTTACATTGTGGCGACCCTGTGTATTATTTGGCAGCTGATCAAGCTGCTAAAGATGTATAGCAAGCGCCCGGTATGCATGAATATCTCCCTCGCTTTATACAGCTTTAGTACGCGATCCAAAATCATCCACGCTAATGTCTTCAAACCCATAACAGCTCAACACTTACATCGGGGGTACCTCAATTTTATTATTCGGGAAGTGGTTCGCCAGTCTCGAGTTTGTGGTCGATGGGGCAGGTACGGTCTTCAGTCTCTATCAGAGAGTACGCAACTCCATTTCTACTGATCTGCTCTGAGATTCCAACTAATCGCAAGCAGTTGGGACGTGATAAGTCCTTCGCGATTCCCGCTCTCAACGAGTATCAGGTATTAGTCTCTTCCGAGCAAAAGGTCCGGGAGCTGGGGGAGAGCGCGGAGAGCGTGCTTTCATTCCACACGGCCATGGAACAGGTATGGACAATTTTTGACGTACCTAATTTTACTGTGTCTGACAGCGCTATAGAGGATTCAGCACAAATATACCTTGTTTGGCTTCCAGCACAACGATATAGATCCGAATAACGATATTGCTAAGCGTGTTATCAAGGTCCTGCTTCGCATTAATTTACCTCAGATGCAGCAAGGCCTACAACCATTGATCAAAGATCTGTTCAAGCAGGAGCTGACAGATAGAGACTCGGATGGTACGTACACTTTAGCCATGATGATAGACAATGGGCATTTCTGATCCTGTCAACAGGTTGGAGTCAAGCAAGTGGATTTACCCTAGCTAAGCACCTTGTTACACGAATCAACAATTACGTTCTCTTGGGTGAGAAGCTGGGTGAGAAATATGCCATACACCACTTTCTAGCAAGCTATAACCTAACGAGCCTTTAGCTAGCGATCCAGCTTTCGAAGATGCTGTCAATCGGTACCTTCAAGACGTCGTGGTAACCATGGAACTATGTCGCCACCTCCCATCATTCCTAGTTCCGTGAGTACTGCTCGGTTGCATATCCCACGTAATATACTGATTTTCCAAGGTTGGTGGCACCAGCCATGATGCGTTGGAGTGGAGCTATGCATTTCATCGGTCGCGCTGTTACTGCCGAGGTAGAAGATCGAGTTAAGAGCAACAGCACATCCCAGGATCCCTCACCGGTGAGTCAAGAAGCTCTCTCTCTTATCGTTTCGGGACTAACTTACCTGTCATGATAGTGTGACGGCATGCAGTGGGTAATAGGTTCATCCAAGACTCCAGAACAACGAACAGTATCTCGACTAGCCCAACAAATAATCGCTATTCTCTTTGCCTCCGTGCATCAAATGGCCGCAGTTAGCATACCAGCCCATACTAAACCGTCCCAAGGCTAATCAGCCAACAGGCTCTGGTTTACGCCATGTATGACTTGTGTCTCCATCCGGAGTTTATCGAGCCGCTCCGCGAGGAAATCAAGCATGCGCGAAGCGTGACTAGCTATGAAGATCACTTTGATCGGTTGCCTTTGATGGACAGCTTCCTACGGGAGTCTGCCCGACTCAGTCCATTAGATGCCTGTGAGATTCCCACATATATCATGCGCAGTTTACTTCAAGCCTGATAACTAAACCCCGTTCATTGACAGTGTCAATTCAACGGGTGGCTCTGTCACCCTACACTTTCGCAGACGGCACGCATGTCCCAACCGGAAACCTTGTTGCCGTTCCTCAAGAGGCGATTATGCAAGACCCGGAGCATTATCCGGATCCAAAGAAATTCGATCCATATCGGTTTCTGGCGGTAGATGAAGCGGATGGTTCGGTGAGAGCTTTCCCAAAGTATACAGACGTGCATTGGAACTATCCCTTCTGGGGTTCGGCGAAAAAAGCATGGTAAGCATCACAATAAGTTAATCAAACACTCTATCTGTAGCTGATAGGCCATGATGACAGTCCCGGTCGGTGGTTTGTCTCGAGGACATTGAAGCAAGTTCTCAGTTATGTGATTATGGAGTACGATGTCAAGCTGGCGGATGAGAATGCATCACGAACCTTTGTTTGGACCACGGCTATTGTGCCTCGATCTAGTACAAAGTTGATGTTGCGAGCGCGAAAGTGACTTTCATTTCTATAATTATTACATAATATACGAATAACGACTTTAAACATACTCATCTGCTCCATACTCTTAGCCATAGATAAACGCAATATACGATACCCGTCACTCTAGCCCTCCATCAAAGTATTAACTAGCAACAAAGCGTAACCTCCACTAAAGCAGCAAAACTTCCTTGGTTTGGTTTACTACCAACCCCTCAATCAAACCTCACCACCTCCATCCCCGTCACCAGCTCCCTCAACTCCCCCTCCGCAGGATACCTCTCCACAAGCCCTCTCAACTCCACCTCAATCCCAGCCCACACCAACTCATCAACGCCCGCTTTCCTCCTAGAATACAAGCTTATCCCCGCCGGCGTGAACATCGACTTATTAGCAAAGACAAGCAGCCACTCGTCATTGTCTGCTCCGCCCCATCCCAGAATCTCCCACTGCGCACTCACCATCCGCAGCCATCCGCTACCCCGCCACTCCATCTGAATCGGACCATGCTGTTTTCCGGCTGATATAGCTCGGTCCGTTCCGGTTGTGGTCTTGACTGAGGAAGAGGATAGCGTTTGGTAGGATGTCTTGTTTGTGAGGATGGGGGCGGGTGAGGTTGTAGTGGCTTGGGAGAGCGCGCTTAGGGGTAGAGTGTCTGGTGGAGTGTTGGTGGTGGTGTCGGCGGTTAGTGTGATTGTGGGGTTGCGTTTGTCGCTCCAGAAGGGACTGGAGGATCGTGTGATGTACCAGGTTCCGAGGATGTTTGTGGTTGGTAGTGGTGGTGGTGGTGGTGGTGGTGGTGGATGTTCATGGCTGGAGTGGTGGTGGTATTTTTGGGGAGCGTGGATCATGATGGGGTTTGGTATATGGAGGTTGAGGGAACTTGGGAGGGGGTGGTAGTAAGTATCTAGAAGTGTAGGGATACGGAATTATGGATTGGCTTCATTGAAAGGAGAGGGAATAGATGAGTATTTATATTACTACTACTGAAAAGGATATGTACCTTGGAGCGATCAATGTACATCATACCATGCACTCAGGCTCTTATGTCGTCAACATACTGACAGGTAAGTATGACAGGATTAGCCTAGCTTGGTACCTATATGCGGGTTTGAAAAATACGTACTGTTTTACCCTCTCTCTCGATGTTGTGCCGGTATGCATACGGTATGGACCCCATTCGTTTTTCTCCACTCTATCCACATCCCTGCCTCGATGATTACTCTCTGCTTGCAATGGGCCCGGCAAGCTGATGGTGATGACGATGGCGTTGTTCTACCACAGGAACATAGATTAGCTCCGAACGAGAAGACGAGTAAACTCTGACAATATAAGGAAGCTGCAAGCAATCTGGTGGGTAAGGTGCATTGCCATGTTATCAATGTGAAGCCCTGCTACGTCCTCATATTCCCTGCCATGATGATGGGTTCAACCGAGCGAAATATGCATGTGCTAACAATCATTCTATATCTATACCTGCTGTTTTCACATTGATTCAGCCTCTGCTCCCTGCGCTATCTCAAATCTCCTTTGAATTGAATATCCACAGTCCTTGATTTGAAAAAATGTGATCCGCCCCGATCTATCTCCTATCATCAAGAACTCTTCTGTTGCTATAGCATATTCAGCCTGGTAGTCAAGAGGCAAAAGTATTTTTTCGCGACCAATGACAACCCACTGGTCTTCCACGGCGAGATCTAGATCACATGCGAATATCGGCGCAGGATAGAAGGACCTAACATCAACCCGGCCCATGTCCGTCTCTATTGCTGTGCCATCAGGGGTGAAGTGTAACGATTTGGCGTATTTAGCTGAGGCATTGCGTGCGCCAATTAATGTTCCTGTTTCCACTTCCCACAACTGTATAGTTTTGGTTGGGTAGTACGAGGCACAAGCCAAAAGCTTGCCATCTGGAGAGAAAGTGATGGCTTGGATGTGATCGAGATCCCTGAATGATGCTATAACGGTACCGCTGATAGTGTCCCAGACCGATATACGCCCGCGAGTGCTTGCGGATGCTAGAATTGAGCTACTTGGTGACCATGCCAGATTGATCTGTTCAAAGCCGTCAGAGACACTTTCGCTCGATTCACTCAATAGCTTCATGTAGAGCTCATTATCTGGAACGTTCCAAATTGAAATTGCTCGGTTTGACATGACGGCGGCCAAAAGTCTTCCATCCGGGGAAAATGCCAGTCTTTGGACTTCATCTCCGGGGTCCATCAAACATCGGTACAAGTTGCCAGTCTCCATCTCCCAGATCCGTATCAAGACACCCCTTTCGTCACCGTTAACATTCTTACTGGCAGCTTCCTCTTCCGTCAATGGCTTTTTAGCATACCACTTGTCCTCCCACTCAGCTTGTGCAAAGAACTCACTATTTGCACTAAATGCAAAGGTAGGAGTCAATTTAAGACTCCGTTAAAAATGCTTTGCCATATCAAACAGGTGGGAAAGCATCACCGCTGTTTTACGCACATAACCAACCAACAGTCACAAGACTGAGTGATCCTTGGGAGGTAAGTATCATAGATTGAATGAAAGACACAATCATAACACGATCACTGCATGGGAAGCGACTAAGCAAGAAGATGCATGATAGACACTATATGAGAGCTTCAAAGGGCCTATGTAGATTCCAGTAAGGATCTATATTAAGAGAAAGACAAAAGCAACACCATGCTTCTTCAAACGGGCTTCAGATTGTGTTACTATCAATATCAAAACAGGACGCATTGATGACTGGGCCAGCAATACATGGTATAGTCGTGTCTGAGCCTCAAATCACAAAGAATCAAGCCATATATCGGGCTATATCTACTCATTCAAATGAACAATATCATGTTTTATGCTATATAATACAAAGGATTGATACTCATCTACACCCATCCCCCTCTCTATTCTGATTTACATCCGGCATCGTCTCCGTGGTAATCTCCACCTGTACATCTTTGAAGATCCTAACTCCACTATGCATCCTTCCTCCGTTCTCGGCAAGCTCAATATCATCCTGTAGCTGTGTGAGACCCTCCTTTCGCCGGGCTCGGCTTCCACCAGTATAATCATAAGTGTAGCTGTGATAACGACGCGCAAGACTGCTGTTTTCACCGATCAAGCGAGGGGCATAGCGGCGCAGGAAGTGGCGGAGGAATGGGAGGCAGCTGCAGATGATGGCAAAGTTGGCTTCGATGTTGCTGCAACACAATTAGAGTGTGTTGTTGTGACCGGAGTAAGGAACTTACATCCACAGATCTGGTCGACCAATATTGTAAGTTGGGTCAGAGGAATTGAGAAAGGGGATCAAAGTGATTAGACGGATGATGCCGGTGACGAGAGTTCTACATAGTCAGCAAATGACGCGAAATCGTGAGGGAATACTCACGCGCAGCCAACCATGAACATCAGCAAGAGGCCTAGCTTCTGTATCCCCGGCATATTCAGCCCCAACACCGTCGGAATGGGTACCAAAATCAACGCAATATCAGAGATGATGTTCAACACGGCTGTTGCAACGTACAGCGCATATTGATTAACACATGTCCCTGTGACAGATATATCCCAGCCTTTCTGGATTGGATGGCAGCCGAAAATGAAGGCCAAGACAAGCGCAAAGCTGTAGCTACTGACCACAAACGCGATACCGTACAGAATCCATTGTTGGTACCGTTTTTGACACAAAATGCGGTAGTAAAGGATAACCAGGCTAATTTTTGCAAGCGCAAGAGCGGGTACGTAGATGATGGCTGCGGCGAGAACGACCTAGATACATTAACTTGGTTTGGATAATGTTTCAAAGAACATACCTTGACATATACGTCATACACTGCAGGTGTCACATTCCAAAAGTGGACTCCCATGCCCCCATGTTTGTATCCATCTGACATGTTAGTAGAGTGATAACCAATGGCAATATGCACTTACAGATGGCGCATGCCTGGGTTCCCAGAGAGAACACCTGGAGCAAGATTAGTGGAATAGCTTCAACTCCAATCGCTGTGGCAGCCTACCCAAGCAAGAATAATAGACACTGTAAAAGTCAGATAGACTCTTCACCATTGAGACCCTAACATACCATCATCCCATCCGAACTTGTGCAGCAAATGTGCTTTGGTATACACTCGCAAGGCTAGGCAGCTAGTGTTGATGATTAAGCCCGCCGAAATCACCGCCATATTTGCCGTATACAGATGGCGATGCGAGTAGTCAAAATCGTACGTCTCCCCGGGGGAAGGGTCCGCCATTGTAGTAATGGCCATCTTCAAGTGGCATTGAAGGCCAACAGCCTCTCATTGGAACCTCACACTGTCATAAATTATAGAAGGGTTCCAGAAGGGAGCTTATGCTCTATGAGGTGCCCCTGAGGCATGGAAGGCCTAGTCGACGGCACAGACAGAATAGAGAGAAAGGATTTGTATTTCGATCATTTTTGTTTTTCTTGCTTTTTCACTTCATGGACAAGCGTGTTGTGTGCGCTTTCCAACAAGGAATGTGCTATCGAAAGCTTATGCACGCTCTCCCAAGACGACAAGGATATGCGCATCCTTCATTAGCAGCGGTAAATTGGACCACATGCCGAGACTACGACGATTAACAATAACAACTCCGCCAAGCTTGGGGGACTTTTCCGGTGCTTGGATAGTGTCATCCGTGTGGAGCGGAATAATATGCCATCGCGTCCGGCCGTCGTCCAGGTGAAAGCCTGGCCGTCCAAAGGCCCGAGGGTCGGCGGGTGTAGGAGTGGAAAGGATCGGTGGTGGAGCGCCCTAAGTACGGAGTAGAGGCAAGCGAACGATCAGACCGTGCTAGTTCAAATCGCGTTGAAACGGCTCGTGCTGGCTTCATTATCGGCTCCACAGCGATGCGGGTTGACTGCGCCGCAATTTCAGAGATGCACTAAGTCTGCGTTAAAAAATGGCGCAGCCTAGCAAGGCGAGATGAGGGTGGAGCATTCGTTGTCTCATTGTCTAATCTATCCCATTCTTTTTGGTGCTCTACTGTACAAAGCGCTTCAACTAGTCGTAAATTTCTTGGAGATGCTGCTTAAACCTGGCTGATCTTGAAGCCACCGGGAACCTGTACCTGGAACACTCCGTCTGGATCATACTTCTTGGCCACGCGGGAGATGAATTCGACATTCTCCTCGCCATAACCCTTGAGAGGGTTTTGCGACTTGTCGGCGTAATTGAGGTAGATGTACTCATTGTGCGCCCCAATGGACTTGGCGTACTCGTCAACCTCCTCCAGGATCGACTGGCCAAGACCGATGAAAAGATCGTCGTCCCTTGCATCGTCCCAAGCGTAGTCGAATAGTATTTCTGCAAACGGATTAGTGCTGCGCTAGGAACAAGGTCGGGTCACATACGGATCAGGTTCTCATCAAATCGCTCCAAGCCCAGAACATTGCCACCCTTCTCCACGCTGTGCTGAGCGAAAAGCTTAGGCCAAGGCTGAATGATAACATCCATCGCCCAGTAGTCACTCTTGACATGGGCCTTGGCCTTTTCGATGTTGTTGTTGTGAAGGTCGATCGCCTTGCGAAGGACTTTGATGTCGTTCTTGTAGGTACCGGTTGTGAAGATATCCCTGAGTTGTGAGCTGTTAGCGACCCAAGCAACAAGAACCGGCTTCAACACCACCAGCGACGATCTCCTCAGGAAGGTGGCCTCTTCAAGGGAAAAAGACGACTGAAAATGGCTTTCTATTAGGGACTGGCTTACCGGTATCCCGCCGCCTGAACCAGCTCCTGCGTCAGGTTGTAAATAGTAGCAAACCGCATCGTGTCAGTGGTGTTTGGAATACTCGTAAATTCATGGAATGCAGGGGCAAAGGCAACAGGTTTGGTATATTCCAGGGCATCCGCAATGATGTTCTGCCCCGTCGTTGAGCTGTACTCCCACATCCCGATCCAGGATGCGTAGGGGTCATTGTGGATGTTGTTGGTAAAGTTTACTGCGGCTGAGAGCTGTCGTTCGGTGGTCGAATTATCATAGACGACCAGTCCACCCCAAAGCATATCATGAGGCAACGTCTTGAGGTCATACTTTGTGACGACTCCAAAGTTGATCGATCCACCCTTCAACGCCTTGTACAGATCAGGATGGCTAGTCCGGTTGACATTGACGATCGATCCGCTAGCGCGAACGACTTCAAAGTTCTCGACGTTGTCACAAGCGAAGCCTACACGTGCGGTGTAGAAGGTGTTTCCACCTCCAATCAGGAACCCACCCACGCCAACTGGTCCACCGCGTCCGCCAGGCACAGTGACTCCATAAGGATCAAGAGCCTTGTAGACCGCCTGCCAGCGCGACCCCGGCTGGATAGATGCAACGCCTTTATCCTTGTGGTATGTGGTGCTGTTCATCATGGACAGATCAATGGTAACGCCCTGCCCGATATCTGCTGCACCAGGCCAGGTGGTATGGCCACCACTGCGCACAGCAAATGGGCATTGTGTTTCGCCGGTTTGGGTCAGAGTCGAGACAATGAGCGAGACATCCTCCGTTGTGTGCGGCTGGACAATACACGTAGGATCGAGCTGAACATTGACCGCAAAGTAAGACGACACGGACTCATTGTATGCCGTGCTGCTAGGATAAAGGACTTGGTTACGCAGGGAGGTCGCTTGCAGAGCGGCGCACTAGGTAACAAGGCTATTAGTACACCCACTAAGTACTGAACAAAAATCACATACACAAACTTGCGTAGAACCAAGCCCGAGGCTGGCCTCGGGCAGAATGCTAAGGACAGGGACTGCCACACTGGAGACCTTCATGTTGAGTTCGTCTATTGGAAACGCTTGGGAATATTTCCTCCGACTGTGTCCCTCAAGATGGCTACACTATCATAATATAAGTCGAAACGCTGCAGCAAGCGGGCTAGGGAATACTCCTGCCCTTAGTGCATTATCGTAGCGGATTCCCCTTGCCCATATTTTAACATAGCCGGAGTGGTCCCGAGTCGCAACAAAGTACATGGCTACATGGGGCAAGTCAGCCCGTATGGCACGATTGAAATTGGAGTAGCCATGGACGGCGTGTGTAAAGATTTCCTGTGGAGTAGGCTGTATGAAGCGAAGGAGTTCATGTGCGAATCCCCATACGAGCATGTCGATCAATTGCCGTCTGCGTTGTAGGACACGCTGGCAGGCCCCAAATGGCGATTGCACCGGTGGTTCAGATTGTCTACAGAGTAATAACTAACCGAGGCTTGATTTGACGGCTGGGCGGCCCGGTTAGTGGGTCTCTTATTGACAGGCACCTTCCCTTCGCTGTGGAGCTCCCTTACATAGTGGGAAAGCTAGTTGGCAGCATACTATATTCTAGTGTAGTCCGAGCGGACGGGGAAACCAATCCGGAGAATCAGACAGCCGCCTCGCCGGTATCTTTATCATGAAAAGATACTTACCATGAAAAGATCATAAGAAGAGCGAAAATGGGGAGGTTATTGAGTATAAAACAAGGCGTAGGTCGAACAGAGCCAGGGCTGAAGATGTTTCCCACGAATCCGCACGGGTGCAGGGATAGGGGTCAATGGGCGCGAAACACTGCCTAATCACCTAGTTGACAGGGTCCTGGCAGTCTGCTCAATGAGAAGGCGTTGACTTGCGCTCCGTACTCGTTCTGCATTCATTACCCCCTCCATGGGTTCCACCATCACCGTCGCATCTCCGAAGTTCAGCCAGCTCTCGCCTTCTCATCGGGCCCGTCATTTCTGTTTGCTCCCAACCGCTTTCTACAATTCTCCACTTGGTAAATAGGTCTGCTGTCTAGACTCGGAATCAATCACCGGCTGTAACCTGTCTATTCCGATTTGGCTTTATTCGGCAAAATCCCGTGTGTTATGTGGCCGGATGCTGATAGCCAGAATGCTGATATATTACCACTTATTGCACACGAGGCCGGAGATACCTTGGCAACATATTGCAGATGTGAATCTGTGGCGGTAGCAGTGAAGCGCACATTCATTTTGGTTGATTCAGTGCAGACTTGATATAGCGGAAGACTATGTAAGTAAGTCACTTCCCTCCCTTGCCACGTCCATCCTGATTTCGAGGATGTTATACATCTTGTAAAATATTTGCCTTACTGCTTAAGATGAGCTAGGCGTAGTGGCTGAAGGGTAGGCCGCTTCGATTTTATATCTTGGATGAAGTTTATGTAGCATCATCGTGCTTTGTAACTGTAATCCTTATGTGAAGTTCTGAACTCTTCCTTTGGTGAGCCAGAATGGAATTCGTCATGAACACCTTTTTGTGCCGCTGTTCGTCCGACCAATCCTGGAGAGCGAGCTAATTGGAATCAGCCTTATCGGCTCTTTTTCGTTTTATCCGGGCTTGCAAGCCACCCAGCGTCTAGCAAGTACGGTTCTTTGGTTTCCGTGTCCTTTTTTGCTTCAAGATCTGAAGTGGTATAAGTCCCCTAGTAGTCGCAGATACAGACTGTCCCCCTGTACTGTCGTTGTCGTTACCAACGCAGAGCTTCAGAGCTAACAGTGAAGCTAGAGTGACCTGAAGGTGTTGTCAGCATGAAAGCGTCTAAAATCCTCTCCGCGATTTTTTGAAGACTTAACCAGGATAATTGCAATATTGCGAATGGAATCCACATATAAACAGATGTAATCAGAGCCTAGGGTGTTGAACGCTCCGTCGCGGAATGAATCCGAGCGGCACGCGGCGGGGAAACAAACAGTGCAAACACCGCATCTTATCAGAAAACTTTCCCATCCCAACTGCGAAAGTTGATCAGTCAACTGCAGACGCCCCGGCCTTGTACCTGTCGCCGGTGCCGCAATGCTCTCCTGATTATACGGGCGCGCGAGAGATAAGGGAATGATTTCGCCATCTTCCCCAATCTTATGCATGTGGTGCGGTTGCCTCTTGGCCCTCTTTATCTTCGATCATGAGCAGCCCAACTCCATATGAACCAGACGAAGACGACGACGACACATCGGAATACAAGCTCGAGATCAAGCGCTCGCAAACAAGCGCCCCGTTACCGGTTCCTCCGTCAACTGGTCCCACTTCGTCGACAACAAATCCACCCGTGCAAACGTCGAAGACGGAACGCAGATCCGCAAGAGGCACGCGGGCCCAGGCGCTAGAGGATCTACAATTATCGCTATCGAAGGAGTCCGCGGAAGCATACTCCAGCGTGCTTGCGGGAATCATCGAAGATCATGCGCCCGTCCCTACAATCAACGGTGGTGAGAACCACATTACATCGCAGAATGGAATCGTGACCTGGATCCCAAAGGAAAAGGAGGTACTATACCATGTTTTGGATAGGAAGAGCAAGGATGGGATTCAGGAAATATCCCGTCAGCTGGGCTCGAAATCTGAGCTTGAAGTTCAGGAGCATTTGAACCTGCTCCATAAGGGCCTGGAAAGACAGCACCTGAAGGACCGTCATACTAGGACGGTTATTCTAGGTGAAGTGCCCGCAGCAGCTGAAATAAGCAAGGACTGCTGTGATGAGCTCGACCAATACGCTGAACTGGTTTCGATGGAGGAGCAGTTGGCAGAAGATGTCGCTGGAAAGCAGAAGCATCACGACTTGTGGATCATCAATCGGGAGACAGCAGAAGAGCTTTCGCAGAAAGTCAAGTCCCAGGGCGCCGATCCAAGCGCTAGCTCCAGTGTGCATCTTACGGCTGAGCTCTTCAATATGAAAAAGTGGATCCGGCTGTCAGAACGATTTTTTATGAATTTTGGCGGTGCACGACTGGAAGACAACTGGACCAATGTAGCCTTTGCGGATGAGACACCGTCCATGACTGCCGATTCGTTCGCGGACTTCTACGCATTGACGATCAGTCTGACACGCCGTCTTGTTCAGTCATCTCTTTTCTTCGCAATGTCAAGGCTGCGGAATATGCGACAAACTGGTAATCAAAAGGCGAACGTTGTGAGGTCTCGCGATGTTAAGACTGCGCTGGACGTGCTCAACATGCAACGGGACCGTTCCGACTACTGGGTCGGCCTGGCGCGGCGATGCAGTTTGAAGGTTGAAGATTCTCGTCATCGAAAGGGGTGGAAATCAATACACATGGAGCACGATGAGGTAGAGGATATCTTGTCTGGTAAGATACCTCTGGAATCAGAGTCGCGTGAGAGAAGTGCCTCGAGGGGAAGATCAGGAAGTCGTGCTCCAGAGAACACGGATGTTGAGGACCTAGATTACAGCGACGAGTCTGAATACTCCTCCGCGGCATCATCCGTACTCTCTTCGCCTACGTTGTCTCCAGTTGAAGAACAGTCAACAGATCCAGAGGACGACCATGCCGAACAGGTTGATGGTCAGATGAGCCGACTTGAGGAAGTGGGCCTATGGAAGCTCATTGGTGAGCCACCCCCACAGCCCCTCGAAACCCAAATCCAAAAATATGAAGCGCAAGATGCTGTCCCACGGAGGCCGGTTGGCCTGCGCAAGACAAAGGAGGACCTGGTCGATTGGCGCGACAGGACGTTTTATCGCAGCGAATGGGAGGAATACGGGCATGATCTTGTGGACCTATACGACGAGCTTTCAGAAAACCGGCGGAAGAGGCGACGTTTCGACCAGACGGATACAAAGCTTACAGATCGGTTGATACCGACTCCTGATCAGCTGCGTGCCGGCCTTTTTGACACTCGTGTCATGGAAAATGACAGCAACCATGCGAATGACGAAGATGACTACGATGAAATGCGGGTAGATGAGCCGACACCATCCAAATCTGAAATCGAAGAGTTTTCAGATAGAGAAGGTACCTCCTCACGGGGCGAGAGTCCTATATCCGAACATGCATCTCGCCTGATTGAAGAGCTTGGGGGTCATCCAGAAGGGTATCCGCCACGAAGAGACCTGAGATCAGGCGTTATGCTAGTCCCTTCCAAGGCCACGGAAGCAGATAGTCCTCCACGTCGTCGCCTTCGCGGGGCGATCAAGCCTGAATCGGATAGTGAAGTAGCGTCTAGTACTGACGACACTCTGCCTGAGCCACACGCAGCCTCATCCGAAGAGGAGGAGACCGATGAAGGCGAGGTGCCATTGTATTCCCACCCAATGAGCCCAGCCGATCCGGTGTCGGACTGATCGATCCTGCAGGACTGGGTATCACATAACTTGGGTATTGTATTCAGGTCCGTTTCTATATGGATATTTTCGTTTGCTTCATCTAGGTCTTTTGTATATATTGTGTTCCGGGTTACCTACTTGCCTGTTTATCTAGATACCTCGCCAAGGCGGCTATAGACTTTGTTTGGATAGGAATTCAGCTACATTCTAATATATCCGACTTGCATCGTATGAGCGGGATACAGCCAGTCCACTCAATAGACCTCCGCGACAAAATAAGAAATAGGGGTATTCTCTCAGAAGATCTATGAAATATCTAGGATCTGAAATAAAAACAAAAACGAAAAAAAGGAGAGGGCCGAACGCGATTTGAACGCGTGACCTTAAGATCTGCAGTCCCACGCTCTACCCCTGAGCTACCGGCCCCTTTCTTGTTGGAAGATCGATGGTCTTCTTGTATTATATTCCTTTGATACAACCAATGGCTCGAAATCCGTGGTGTCCATGTCACTGTGTCTGGCTTTCCCTGGATTACCGACCAGGTACAGTAATACTGACTTTGGAATTCTCTGTTCTGCAGATTCCCTTAGCATCCAATTGACTACACCACATGCGACAGGCTCTCATAAGTCTTTGATTGCATTTAATTCTCACAATTATTGAGTGAGGTTGCGCACGCAATGGTATACTACTCTGAAAGGGCTGCGAAGTTCAACCCATGGGTATATACGTCTCTCGGCGCGTCTTTCAATGGATAGTGGTACGTGTCAGCAGA